TAGTCCATACCTCATTTCCTGGGATCAAGAAACTTTTTTCATGTGTGCTGCATAGTATTCCATTGAGTGAATGTAGCATAATTTCTCAATCTATTTGATTGTGGTTGGACATTTGGGCTGTTTCCATGTTCTTGCAATTGTGAATAACACTTTTATTAGCATTGGTGTACAAATCTCTATTTGTGTCTCAGTTTTAATTTCCTTGGGATATTTTCCAAGTGGAATAGCTAGGTCATATGGAATCTCTATGTTTAGCTTTTTGAGGAAACACCAAACTGCCTTCCAGAGTGGTCACAAGCAATGATTTTAAAAAATAACTACATAACTTGGGAGAGACTGGAGAGCATTATGCTGAGTGAACTAAATCAGTCTCATAAGGATAAATACTACATAAGATCATTATTGTAGAAATAGGAAGACAACTAGTAAAACATTTATGAGGTTCCAAGGGGGGAGGGTGGGAGCAGAGAGGTGAGGATGGGCTGGGGGGAAATCATAGGGTTGCACAAATTGGTGGATGGAAGGGGGATAAAGGAAATGAGAAAGATCCAGCTGGGATCTGAAAGACAAGGAAATGGTGGACATGGTTCAATCATAATTAATTTTATAAAACACCATGAATGTGGTTTTGTTTTTGGTCAAATATTCTTCTAATTGGTATAGCACTGGTCTGTCTACTTGCTGTACAGAGGTAACTCATGGTTTCTGTGAAGCTGAACACTGTGACACTCATGTGTCAAATGTGATAATGGTTACCCATGGTGGACAGTGTTTGGTGGAGCTTCCTGATTAAAACAAGCTTGGAAATAGCTTGCCTCTGGAAACCCTATGAACTTGCAGAAACAAAGAAAGTTATACAAGTGTTCAGATCTTTTGTTCATAGTGTCATTATGAGTCCTCTGCAAATTGAGGGCACTTAACAATGATAAAATGTGAATGATTGCATGAAATGCAATGTGAATTAAAAAATAGTGCAAAACAATGAATATGAATTTTGTAAGCAAAACAATCTATTTTTTTTTAAATCCTTTCTCCTGAAACCAGCAATGATGCTGAGTGAGAACTGAAATATTTCTCAATACCTTGTCTATAATTTGATTTCAGCATCCTTTGCCCTGAAACATAGCAGGGTCCTAGGAGATTGAGAAAAATGGGCCTGGCCAAGAAGTGTGGGGACACTATCATTGTTGTTCTTCCTTCTGAAGGTGAGAAGGCAGTGGCCTAAGAGTCCACCTTTCAGCACTGTCAGTGTGTTGTCCAGCAAAGTCTCAGATTTTTCAAAATCTCATTTCTGGATGTGACATCTGTACAGCAAACCTTGTCAATGAATGCGGCCTTCTTTCACAAGATGTCGAAATGGTATTGTCAAGCAACCCTGCAGTGGAGGAGGGGATTCTTTGTCTTCCAAATGACTGCTTCTGATTTCGAACTTTGACATATCTGTTGAAGCTTTAGTGTTAATAACTGCGATTATCTTCTCTCAATTTAGCTAGAATTCAAGGAGAATATTAGGGAAAATGTGAGCCTAGTGATGTGCTAAATTACTTAAGATATTACTTAAGAGCACTGATGTCACTTTGAAGACTAAGGTGTTTCTGATTCATGCCTGGTCTTTCAATTACTACTTATGCATTTAAAAGTCGGATGCTGATGAAGGATGATAGTTGAAGTCTTTGAGCTGTAGTGTGGGAGAAGAGTCCTGACTATCCTATGTTTTTGTTGTGTATCACTGAGTAGGAACAACACCTAGCTGACCCTCCCCCGTGTTGTTAGGGGCCGTTAATTACAAGGGAGGAGACTGCTCATCCTTCTCCCAATAAGGTCCAATAGCATGCTGAAAAACAAACAGGTCTGTCTGGAGAAAGTAAAAACTTGCTTTTTAGAGGCAAGGATTGTGAAGCTTAGTCTCACATATTTTATGTTACGTGAGGGGCCAGTTCCTTGGGAAAAAAGACATTATGCTTGGAAAGGTGGCGGGTCGGCAAAAGAGAGGAAGACGCTTATGAAGATGGATTGACACAATGGTTGGAGTATATCAGGGATGGTGAGGATCGCACAGGATAGGGCAAGGTTCAAATCTGGGGTTCACAGGGTTGCTGTGAGTTGTAGTCCACTGGAGAGCACCTAACAATAACAAATGCAATGTGTAAATGGTTTCAATGAAGTCGGCCCGTAGAGACCCCTTGGACATCGACCATTTAGGCAAAGAAATGCACGCGAGTTTGAGAACGTGGAAAGAGAATGTGCTTTCTGCAAGTTTATAATTACTGTTTATTAAGAATGCGGGGGAGGAGGGAAAGGCAGTCCACAAGAGCTCATTTTCTCTGTTTAAAAGTGGCCTAATCGTCTCTAATCCCTTCCCGCATTAAGACTCCTTGGGAGACTTCAGAAAACAACTGTCTCCCTGCCCCCTTCAGTTTGTCTGAAGCCAAACTCCTCTCAGGCAGGACAGCAGGGGGAAAACTGCTTCCTGGCATTTCCATGGAGAAAAATGACACAAGATTCTGGTTTGAAAAAAAAAAAAAAATCCCAAGGCATCAGAGGCAAAAAGAACCACCTTCAAGAAACTGCACAGTGGAAGAAGCCCCATTCATTTCCAATGGCAGAATGCCTACATATCGAGCATCCCAGACCGTTTCACGCCCCTGGCGTTGTCCTTAGGGAGCTGAGCTGCCAGCCCTGCCGCCGCGCCTCCTTGGCGGTTCCAACCACCACTCGCTTTACGAGAGAGAGATGGGCGGCATTTACAGTTTCTGAAAGCCAACGGAGGTTCCGACTTCATGGCAATGGGTTTGAGGGGGTTTTTGTTGTTGTTGTTTTGTCAAGAAAATGAACAGAAAGATTAATTCCATCAGGTGAGAAAGTATATCCCTTTGGACCTGCCTGCCTCACTCTAGACGGCCGCCACATAGTTCTTTGCTTTTATTCCTTCACAAATTCTCTGGGTGGAGACAGTCGTCGTGTTACAAACCGCATTAGTGGCCACCAGGGGCGGAAATCGCTAATTACCAAGTCACTTTGAACTCGCCCCTGCCATTTGGCCCACGACACAGGAGCCTCCGGAGTCCAAAACTGCACTCTTGCTTTCCCAGAACTGGACGAGCTCCGTGCGTCCTCAGCCCGCAAGCCTGAGAAACGCTGAGGTCTGTTTCAGACTTTTGAACATTTGTCTCCAGACTCCTCCCAATTATAATTGTGTGCTAAGCAAGTAAACTATTACAAACAAACATTAGCTCGGGAATTGTGGGTTTGGTTTTTTGGAGGACGGGGGTGGGGGGGAAGAGACTGTGGAAATCAATTCAAACAAAATTTCCATTTCTTCCTTTCCTCACTTTCTCCTTTCAACTCTTTTTGTGGGAAATGAAAGTTTTCCTTTCTTTTGCTAGAACTATAATGTGATTCGCCACCGTTTGTGAAATGAACAAAAGTCAACGGCAGGCAGGCCGGTGGGGACCGAGAGCTGAAGGCAGATCAGGGGTGTGAGCGAAGACTGGTCTCCAAAGATAATGGGGAGTTGGCGTCCGCCCCGCCTGGTCTCCATGGTCGCCTTCATCTTCCAGGTAAAATGAATGTGCCTTCATCCATCATCCGCAGCGAACCCCCTCCCCCGACGAGCAGAGAAGCTGCTGTCTGATGAAACCCATTAGCCCCGAACTGGGAGGCTTTGTGGAGCCTACTGAGGCTTTTCATTGTGGCCTTTGACTGCGGAATTTAAGCATTTACATAATGCATTCGTGAGGAACTCAGCGCCAAGGGGTCCCCGTGCGGAGCCCGGCGGGCCCAGCGAGTGTGCATCTTCCCTGCCCGGCTGCTCCCGGGACCACGCTCGCGTGTCTGGGCGCGCTGCAGGGCCTTACTTAGCAGGAACGCAGTTAAGGAGTCCTGGTGCGCGCAGTCGGGGCTTCCAGTCTCTCGCTCCCCACGGTCCTAACTGCCTTGGCAACCTCTGGGCGGCTGCGATCTAAAAGAAAGTGGCAAAAATTAAACTAGTGTAGTTTAATGAGACCCTGAAGCCAAACAAATGACACTGACTCTGCTTTCCAGACGTCCGTTGGGGGCCTCGACGTTTTCCACGCTGACCGTTGGTGGTCTCGAGCCCAACGTTCACCGGTGCCTCGAGGGCGGGGCCACCAAGGGTTCCATCCTCGGTGCGCGGGGCCCTGATGCGTGGACAGCAATTCCTTCTGCACGCTGGTTGAGAGGAGGGATTCTAGCCATTTAAAGGAGAATGTGTCCCGAAGCTTGTGTGACTCAAGCTTTTAAGGAGTCTCTGGAGGCGAGTACCTCTCCCATAATAAAGTCTAGGTATCCAGGTACTCATCTCTGGAGGCAGGTCCAAGTCAGAAACCTCACTGTAGATTTTCACCCCTCAGAATGCTTTAAATCACGAGGAGCGCACCCTATCTAGGGAGGTGTAGGACCTCTTGCACAACCACACCTTCCGCCTCCACTTCCCTAGACCTTTAAATCGGCTTTGACCTCCAGTGCACCTCGGAGCCGGCGGCTGCAAGGAGTTGGCACCCAGAACGCGGAAGCGCGAGAGGGGAGGGGGGGCGCCCCTTCCAAGGAGTCCTCGATAGGGCACCCCGCGCCCTTCCTTTCCTGTCCAATCGGAGCGCCCGCCGTGTCTGTGACGGCGTTCGGCTCCGCCCCCTCGACGGCGATAAAATTGCAGCGAAGCTGCATCACTCAGCACCGCGTGTGGCCTGTGCGTCCCAGTGCAGTTCCTCCAGGTGTGCGCCTCTGAACTCACAGTCACAAGCTTTTGGCCGCCGGCCAGTCTCTATTCTTGCACTTTCTTTTCCATCCCCCGCGCGGCACGGCCGAACCCCTCCCCGAGGTTCTCCGCTTCCGAGGTTCTCCTCCTTCCTTGGCTGCTGCTGTCCCCCGCGGCGCTGGTGTGGGTCGCTGCAGGTGGGCGGCAGCGCAGCGCCCCTGTGCCAGGAGCTCACCGTGCTCGGCCCGCGGCAGTGGCCCCCAGACTCCCATTTCCTTGCAGGATGAAGAACCCAATGCTGGAGGCTGTGTCCCTGTTGCTGGAGAAGCTGCTCCTCATCGCCAACCTTAAGATCTTCAGTTCCGCCGCTCCAGGTGAAGACAAGAAAAGCAATTTTTACGAGATTAATTCTTTCCTCCGCGGTGACGTGCTGGAGGTGCCTCGGACTCACTTCACCCACTATGGTATCTATTTGGGGGACAACCGCGTGGCCCACATGATGCCCGACATCCTTTTGACCCTGACCGACGACCAGGCGCTCACTCGAAAGGTAGTCTCCAACAAGCGACTCATCCTGGGCGTCATTGGCAGAGTGGCGGCCATCCGCGTGGATACGGTGGAGGACTTCGCTTATGGAGGCGACATCCTGGCCAATCACCTGGATGAATCCCTGCAGAAGGCGGCACTGGTCAATGAGGAGGTGGCGCGGCGAGCAGAGAAGATGCTGGGCATGACCTCCTACAGCCTACTGTGGAACAACTGTGAGCACTTCGTGACCTACTGCCGATATGGCACCCGGATCAGTCCCCAGGCAGACAAGGTAAGGCAGGTGACACGCAGCGAAGGTGGGCTGGCCGGCCTCTTATTATCTTTCTCCCTCCCCCAAACCCTCCTACCCACCCAAGAATGTACTTCCTGACCATCACCCCCACAGGGCTCTTAAAGTTCTAGATTAAGCAAGGAACACTTGGTGCTAAAGGAGATTAAAAAAGAAACAAAAATGTGGGGGGGAGGGTGCCTCTCAAAATATCTTAAAACGTACTATGAAAGGGTGTGGCAATGCACTGATGTAAGGAAAGGCTCACATTCAGAGTTAATTCCAGAGCGCTGTAGAAGTGTCCATCTACAATAGCTCAAATGACAAAGGGCAAGTGATTGGGAGGCGTAAGGATTCTGTTGCTGGTGTATGGGCTTTGTAAGTATGCTAGTATAAAATGAAAATTTTTATTTTAAATAAAAAAAGAGAAAATATTTCTATTGCTACTGGTTGCTATTTTTTCCAAGAATTGTAATTGGGAGGGAAATGCTCAGCGTTTGTATTTAAACCATAACAGTATGCACAAATTGCTATACCTTGAAAAGAAGAAAGCAGGCAGTTTTCTCCCTCTGTAAACTGAAAAGGGTGGATTTTATTTGTTTATTATATACCAAAATTCCCAACAGGTTCCCCTGGTTTCCCCAGGTATTCTGAATTCTTTGTGTTGTTTTTCATCTCCGTCTAGCTTGTTACTCATTGTTAAATATTCTTTTGCTCAAAAAATGGTTAAATTGTTTGTGGATTCCTTAGAGGTCAAAACAGTTGACTTGGAGAAAGAGCCATTAAATAGTGGAAGGTAAATTTTATAGATTCTTTGAAAAGACAATATTAGAATGTAAGGTTATTAGCCACAAATTTTAAAGACTAGATTCTTAATTCTTTTTGAAACCACTTTTCAAGATGACTAACATTTTCATTGTTTAAAAGGTATCATTACATCCACTCTGTTTAATAGAAATATGGATAATCACATAAAAACTTGCAGTATTGGTCTGCATGCTAATTTATGGTTTAGCGGTAGTATTTGGTTTTTCTCCCCAATTCTAAAGAATTGGAGTCCATGGAACCAGTTTTAAATTTCATCACTTCTTGATTGTTTTTGACCTAAAACTCATCACTGTCTTGAAGTCAGCTCAACATCCACCCTATAGAACAGAGTAGACATACAATCAACAGTTTCCAAGATTATAAATCTTTACTAAACTGCCATATCTCTCTTCTCTCAGACCTGCTTGTGGTTTCAAACCATCCACATTTTGGCTAGCAACTGAGCAATCTAAACACTGGGCCACCAGAAACTCCAGTCTCCACCCTTGGCCTTTTTTTTTTTAAACTTATGAGGAAAATTCAGCTCTCTCCTCTATGAAGTAGCGTGGAAGTAGTATATTATTTAAATCCCAGTATATGAAACTCCTTACAGCTTTTATAGAGCCACAACAGACTCAGTCTAGGAAAAGTCTGGCATCTTTTCCAAGTAAAATAAAAAAAAAAAAATGCAGTTAGAACACTGTGCAGTGATTCAGGCCTGTTTAGAAATGAACTTCACCACATTTACAAACACTGGCTCCAAAAGTGTACAAAAGGAAACACGTCAGATTTACTTAAGAACCAAGCAAATCATTGCTTTCAGGAAAACACAGTATTTCTATCTGGTAATTAGGAGTTGCCCTTTAATGGAACATATACAACACTGTACTATGTATTTGTGCTGAAAAAGTCCAAGTGCTTTCTTTAAGGTAGTAAAATATTTCATCTGTATAACTAACTAGTTGGCATAGCTTTTCATCTTTGAAATTTGGTCAGGATTTACAGAAGTAGAGGAGTATTTTAATTACTGTTGCTGCATAGCACCTCCTGTGAAACTAGAGTTTTTGTCTTCACTTTGAATAGACTAACAAACAATTTGGCCACTGAGCAGATTTTCCGGGTGGGGGGGGTGTGGGGGACCCATCCCAAATTTTCTAGTTCTAAGAACTGTTTTGAACATGCCCTGAGAAAAGTGGGTCATTAATCCTGAAGGAGGTCTGGTTTATATGCTTTGGAAGTATATGAAATTATTTGACGCAGAGTCTAATTGTTGAATTCTCCATCCATAAAAGTATTTCTTCCATAACATGAACCTTGCAAAGCTGCTCCTTAAACTTAAATTTGAGTTTGTAAAAACCCAAAAAGTTCCCACAGGAAAACTTAGTCATTATATGAAAATAAAGTATAATTTACCCTTTAATTCTTTGTGATAGTTCTCATTTTAAATGAGCTTACAAAGTATAAAATAAAATTATTTTTATATTGCTATTGAGGATCTGTCATTTTGTGAACTATAAATCCTTTCAGTAATGTTAATTACTACTAATCCTAAATTTTTTCATATATATACACACACATGCATACATATTTTAACTTTGCTAATGTTGCTTTTTATTGCAAAACAATTAATGCAAATAGCTTTTTCTTTTCTGAAGATCCATTGATCTCTAAAGTGCTCCTTATAGAAATCCAGGACGTTCCCACTATTGTTGAATACCAGTAGAATGGCCTCCTAGAATAACAGCCTAATGAAAGAACTAGGGCTTTCGGTATTTGAAATAAAATTCACCTTGAGAAAATCTACTTATTGGAGGAAGAGAGCTTACAATGACTCTATTTGCCTTATTTAAAAAATTACTGGGGAAGAAGAGAAAACAAGCATTGTCGATTTATTCATTACTCACTTACTGGAACATTTTTCTCCCCATTGTTTGCCGGACTCTTTCCCTACTGTCCTAAAACTTCACTCAGTTTTGATGGCCACCTCTTTGAAATGATAGTTTAGTTAAGTAAGATAAGACAAATCATTTTATGTTTGATATATCAGTGGTCCAATATCTGGATAACAGAAAGTTTCTGATTTGTTCATTTAATCTTACTCTCAAGATATTCCACTTCCATATGCATAGAAAGTAATTGAAAAGACCATGGCCTGGATGAGGCACACCTTAATCTTTAAACTGATATAATTTCTTTTTAGCACTTTGGAGAGGTCCCTGACAGTAGGTAATGTATTAACATCTATTGGAGTTGTTCTTTCTATTAATCTAGAATTTGAAAACACAGTGGTCCAGTACACATAAGCCACTGGTGGACTAGAAAAGGACCATGAGTTTTCAGTGAACAAAATGGAGTAATTAATTTCTGAATTGTGGTATTAGCAGTGAAGAAAACTGAGAAACTCATTGTCATCAAGTAAGTTATGACTCATAGCTGATCCTCCATTGGGTTTCCAAGGCAGTTAATCAAATGGAAGAGACCTCTCATCTTTTCCCCTAAGAACAGCTGGTGGATTTGCACCTCCAGAGAGGTAGGTGCTGCCTTGGGGTGAGCAGTGCAACTCTTCAGACTTCACCACCAGAGGTCTCTAGAGATGCAGATAATTATGGGTAAATGTAGCAGAAATAGTAACCGTTGTTATACTTTACATTTACATAGCATGTAGAAGAATAAAGGGTTTGGTGGTTTTTTTGGTTTGTTGTTTGTTCCCCCCCCCCCCATAAAACATCTTATTTGATTCTGACAATAACCTTGGTATCCCCATGAATTGGGGAGGCAAGGGTGATCTAATGGTCAGGTGACTTGCCTGAGATCAGTCATACAGCTAGTCAGAGATGGAATCAGGACTCAAATATAGCCTATCAACAACCTGGTAAAAGTACCTTTCTAAGACAAGAAATTAGACAGAAGAATAGATTCCTCAGGAATTGTTGTTATTATTAGGTGCCATTGAATTGAGTAGAGCCCATAGTGACCCTGTCTATGAACAGTGAACCCTTTTCTATCCTGTGCCATACACAAAATCTCTGACACACTCAAGTTCGTTGCTATAATCACTATGTCAATCCACCTGGTTAAGGGTCTTCCTCTCCCTTCCCATCCATTCACCTTTCCAAGTACGATGTTCATTTCCAAGGAATAGCCTCTCCTAGCAACAGGGCCAAGGTATGTGAAAGAACTGAATATTCCATGAACTGTCAAAAGTATTAACAGATAGATCTTGGAGAAGGTATGACCAGAGTGCTTTGGAGGCAAAGATGATAAAGCTTCATCCTCAGGGATAGTTGTTATTGTTGTTGTGGAGTCAAGAAAGACCCTATGAACAAAAGTCTTGAACCCTATCCTGTCCTGTGCTTTCCTCACAGTCTCTGACATACTCAAGCCCATTGCTTCAGTCACTGTAACAGTCCTCATGGTTTGTGTTGTTGTTGTTAAGTGCCATCAAGTCATAGACAACTCATAATGATCCCATGAACGAAAGATCTGAACACTTGTATAACTTTCATCATTTCTCTAAGTTCATAGCGTTTCCAGAAGCATGCTATTTTGAAAGTGGATATCCTCACAGGGATGTCCTCATGGGTAGGGACCATATTTAATATGCCTTTATTTTCAGTAGGTAATTATATTTGTTCCCATTCCAAAGAAAGGTGACCCGACAGAGTGTGGAAATTATAGAACAATATCATTGATATCACATGCAAGCAAGATTATGCTGAAGATTATCCAAAAATGACTGGAACAGCACATCAACAGAGAACTGCCTGAAGTGCAGGCTGGGTTTAGAAGGGGTCGTGGTACTAGGGATATTGTAGCTAATGTTAGATGAATCTTGGCTGAAAGCAGGGAATACCAGAGGAATGTCTATCTGTGTTTCATTGACTATGCAAAGGCATTTGACTGTGTGGATCATAACAAACTGTGGCTGATTCTGAGAAGAACAGGAATCTCAGAACACTTTATCATGCTAATGCGAAACCTACACTTGTTGGAGCAGGAAGCAGTTGTCAGAACAAAGCAAGGAAACTGCCTGCTTCAAAATTGGGAAGGATATATGCCAGGGATGTGTCCTATCGTCATACCTTCTCAACTTATATGCAGAACAGATTTATCTGGGAGGCTGGGCTGTATGAGAAGTCTGGCATCAGGATTGGTGGAAGATCCATCAACAGTCTGCATTATGCAGATGACACAACCTTGCTCGCTGAAACTGAGGAGGGCCTGAAGTGCTTGCTGCTGAAGGTCAAGGACTGCAGCCTTCAATATGGATTAAAGCTCAATATCAAGAAGACAAAGATTCTTACCACTTGGCCAATTGGCAGCATCGGGATGGATAATGAAGAGATTGAGATTGTTCATAGCTTTAGTTTGCTTGGCTCCACAGTCAACACTCTTGGCACCAGCAGACAGGAAATTAAAAGACGTATTGCCATGGGAAAGTCTGCTGTTAGGGACCTCTCCAAAGTACTGAAGAGCAGTGGTGTCACTCTGGAGACTAAGGTGCGTCTGATACAGGCCATGTTCTTTGCAATCACTTGCAATGCATCAGAGAGCTGGACAATGACTAGAGATGATAGGAGAATTTATGCCTTTGATCTGTGGTGCTGGAGAAGAATATGGAACGTACTATGGACTGCTAAGAAAACAAACAGGCTCATCCTGGAGAGGGTTAAACCAGGCTGCTCCTTGGAGGCAAGGGTTCTGAGGCTTCATCTGACATCTTTGAACATGTTGAAAGGATGGACCAGTCCTTGGAGGGGATCATCATGCTTGGGAGGGTGGAGGGACAGAGCAGGAGGAAGACCTTTTATGAGGTGGATTGATTTAGTGATTGGGGTAATTGGGGTGGGTGTGTCAGAGACAGTGAGGTTGGCACAGGACAGAGCAGGGTTGAGGGCTGTTGTACATAGTGTCATTATGAGTCGCAAGCAACTCGACAGCACATAACAACAATTATGCTTAACCATTTATATAAATTTTTTACAGTATTAAGACTGTGAATATGCTATAATAACAAAATGTTTTGTTTAATTATAGATTTTTTAATTTGTGAGAAAGTTTTTATTGAAATCACCAAATTTTAGAATGGTGAATAAGAATCATATTTCTTACCAATAATAGGCTAAAATCTGTTGCATTTACTCAAGATTAGAGATTTCTCTGTGCATTTGATTTCAGAATATGTCGTTGTTGCTAAGTTCTGGTGGCACAGAGAGATACATGTTGGTTGCTAATGGAAAGTTTGGTAGTTTTGAACCCAAGAGAAACAGCAATTTACAGAAACCCGAGAAGGCATTTGCACTTCATCTTATAGACTTGTTATGAGTTGGAATCAGCTGAATAACAGTGAGTTTAGTTTTAGATTGATAAGCAGATAAACACTATTCTTACCTTTGATTTTAATAACTTTTATGTAATTACATTATTCCCTATAATTGTCTAGAAAAGATTTGTATTTATAAACAGAGGTGGCCTAGTGGCAAAAAGCTACACTGTAATCCCGAAGGCAAGCAGTTTGGGACTACCAGCTGCTCCATGGGAGAAGAATAGGCAGTTTCCTCTCATGCAGTTAACTGGTTTTGAAAACCTACTAGAGCGTCACCTATTGGTCGGTTCTGACTCTACGGTATACAACTACCACCACCAGTACCATTATTAAGCCAGATGGTTAAAATGTTATTTCAGCCATAAAAAGTTTATCAGCATGAATAATGAGGGATGTGGAATCAAGAACTGTACTGTTAACATCGTTGATTTTCTACAAATCATAAGGGCACAGTATTTCTGCTACTAGACTATTACTTGGGAAATCTATGCTTTACTATTTTATATATGTGATTGTTCTAAGTTTTCATCATTTCTCCCAATAATCTTTAATTTTATTTTTCAGTTTTGTGAGATTGTGAAGATCATTATCCGTGATCAGAGAAGTGTTCTTGCTTCAGCAGTCTTGGGATTGGCTTCTATCATCTATCTGGGAATGGCATCATATACAACACTTCCTGCAATTTTTATTCCATTCTGCTTGTGGATGGTGGGCTAACTTCATACCTCCGTGTCATTGTGTGTGTTCTCTGTGTAAATATGTTTATATTTATAGAGCACAAATCACTATAAGCTTTGTTGAGAACAAATGTGACCTGTAACACACTGTTCTGGATAAAAATGTGATTAAGAATCACACAAAGTGCTTACTATGTAAGCCCAAGAACAAAGACTTTCTGATGTTCTCAGACAGTTTTAAAGCACCACCTAGGTGTGGAGATGTGATAATTTGTGGCAGAATTCAGCCATATAAGAAAACCAGCCCCTACAATGATGGCCACAGGAGACTGTTGTTTCTCCTGTAATCATTGCTCTGCTATATTAGGCTGCATCTGAAGACTGGAAGGAATATCAGATGATTAATTTTATTGTAAAATCATCTTACTTAATTGAAGACTTATATTAAACTTAAAGATTTGCCTTTATTCAGATGAAAATATGTTTGATAATTGGCAAAAACCAAAACTTTTTCACAGATTATATATCTCCCAAATAAGCCAAAAGTATTTTATTTCCATTAATTGAAGCTGATATTGGCAACATTAAAATTTAGTGATGAAAATAGCTAGCCAGAAATTACAGAAATGTTTGGAAAAAATAGCTACTTTAGCATCATTCATATCTTCCCCCCACTTCTTCTTTTGTGTGACTCTGGTTAGTTTAAATCACTCTGGGAGATACATATCTACAGTATTAATTTGTGTATTACTCTATTTTGGTACTCACATAGTTATAGAGCATCTATTCAAGTGAATGGTAAAGTTCAATCCATTTTCTATGCTCTTTTGCTTGTGATATAACTTGCTTATATGTTATTGGATGATGTACCTGTTAAACCATTTACCAATGTATAGTATAATTTTTCTTAAATATCCAGATTTATTTTCTACTCAGGTTTTTAATTCATTTCCATGTAAATATGATTTATCTCCCTATAAGAAGGATACAACAGCAGTATATAAAATCTCAAAAAAGTAGGATTGGAGGCAGAAATTACTAAAGTGCCATTAGGTACAGGCAGGTATGTAAATGGATTTTACTGAAGCTGTTACAGAATCAGAGTTGAGATTTACAAAGTTAAACGTCTAAGTACTTTCCAAAATTGTCAATTTCTAGAATCTAACCCAAAAGCTAGATTTGTAATTCATTTATTAAAAGCTGCTTTATAAACTAGCAGGAATCACAGATTAGAATGGCTGAGTGCTCAGTAAGTTAGTGATCCAAACCCAGTCTAAATATATCTAAAGAGCAAATTTCAGCATAACCGAAATTTTATCCCCACTAACTTACAGAAAATGTAATTGCCGTTTAATTAATAATTAAACTTTAAGTGGCTAATTATTAAGTCTATTTAAATATCTTACATAGCATTAAATGGCAACATCACAAATATAGTTGATATATGGGCCTATTCCAACCACTTGAAATGATAAATATTTATATATAAGACCAACCAGTATCAGGATGCTATTGTGTTAGTGGTTTTTCACTTACTGTATATTATCCTTGTAGCAATTGTTTAAATAAATATTGTTTTATTTTCAAATTATGGTGTCCTTACATAATTAAAATAATTAACATCTTTTTTTTTTCTCTGCCTATGGTATTGCAGGCACTATTTGATACAAACCTGATGTTTAATCTGAGCTCAAAGATAATGATTAAATGCCAAGGACATTTTTACATTTGGAATTAAAATGATTAGTCTCAACTTGGTATCAAGTGCTTATTGTATGTTAGACCTAAATATGTTACCATTTCCCTGTCTAGAGTTAGTATTTTTAAACTACTTTTGACAGCATATATATTGTGCTTTGGCTATACAGGTAGAGAAGCAATTAAATGTTCCTCAGGGGCTAGGGAAATTATATCCACTGATGAGTTCCCTTGCTTACGGGAGGAAGGATTCACTTATCAAATGTTCTACAGTACTAGAGTTTACTGAATTTGTTAGGGGGAAAGAGGTATTTCATTTGCTTCATTGCGCTTAATTAAATTAGTTGCTTAAGAAGAAAATGTTCCTGATAGGTGGTCATAGAAGAAACCTTGAGCCATGAATGTGTCTCATAACTTGAAGTAACTAATGAATGTCTTTAGGTTTTATATCTCTAATTCACTTTCATGATCTTGAAATGGATGTCTAAATTTCTATTTTAAATATAATAACAATCAAATAGTATGTGATGGAACTTTTTGTTGCTTTTTATATTCTTTGCCATCCTCAAATGGAGGTTAAATCAGGACTAGATTTAATTAGGACTAAGACAATTAAATTTAATTGTGAGGTATTAGGCAGGCAGGTGTTGTGGATGAAAAGATAAATTTGACATGGACTTTTTCCTCAAAGGATCTGGCTACAGATACATCTAAGTGGTAAGACTTTGTGCAATTGAGATCTGTATAGGGCTGATTGAAAAGCACAAATAAAGGAGGAATTGGTTTTAACTGCATTATGAAAGACCATAACTATATAATGAGACTGGAAAGACGAATGTGTATTTTCTGTGGGGACAAAGTTCAGGCAGAACATTCCATGCAGTGGGAACAGTGTGAGCAGATTAATGAAAACTGCCCACAGCGTGCCATTTCAGCATGAAAGCATGAAAATGTATGAATACATTCAGGAAATTGCAAGTGGTTCAGAGGTTAGAGCAATGGTTAAATATTTTGGAAAAAGAAAGCAGTGAGTACATGGTTCAAGGCTTGTGTAGACTAAGAAGTGTGGACTTTATGAATATGCACTGGAAATTTGGAATTCAGGAAGATAACTCCCAAAAGTATGGAGAAACGATAGGACCTCAGGCAAGATGGGAGCAGAAGACGTGTCTGGAGACTAACAATGCCCCTCAAGTCCTCAAATAAGATGGAGAGGAAATTCATCAAATGTCAATACACTTTAGTCAAATGCCTTAAATTTGACTCAAGAATAATTTTTAGTGGGGGATTAGGGAAGAGTCAGCCATACATGTTGTCAGAAAATGAATTCCTGTAAAATAAATTAACTCAATAACTTCTGTAAATCTTGGATTTTTCTGACCTTTACTCTATTAGACATGTTTCTTTTTAAGAATAAGTGTATATGTATGGATGTGTTTTTAAAAAGTATTAAAATTTCAGTAAAATGTCTTATTTTTCCATTTCTTAGTGTTGCTGTCAATTATAGGAAATGTTTTCTACCAATATTAAAATTATTAAGAGAAATATTTTTATATTAGATGAAACACACATAAGAAATATGTGCTTACTAATCTTTGTTTTATAGTGTAATCTATTTAGAGAGTTTTATGCCTGTTAGAAACCCATACCTGTTATTTCAGCTAATTTCATATTGATACCAGAGCACATCAAATAAAAGCAATTTTGCATACTGTTTGCTCTTGTCTTTGCACTTGAAAAACTAAAAATCAGGCCATATATTTTTGAGCATAGTAACTTGAATATTTTTCCCTTTCAAGGCTTCTTTTATTGAACACTTTTATATAGTTGAAAAGAAAACGTTTTGTGACTCTACCATCAGAATTGTATAATCTTCCTAGTAGTGGAATTGCTGGGTCAAATGGTATTTCTATTTTCAGACTGCCTTCCATAGTGGTTGTACTATAAGAGTTCTAATCTCTGCACAACCTCACCAGCATGTGTATACCCTAAAGAAACCAGACCTTCAACTTAAGATATATATGCGCATCCCTGTTTATTGCTGCATTATTCACAATAGCAAAGAAGAGACATAAGCAACCCAAGTGCCATCAAAAATCGAATGGATAAAAAAACTATGGTACATTCACAATGGAATATTTTACAGCATTGAAAAAATAAGGAACTATGTTATTAGTAAAATGTTACAAAACACGAGTGAGCCTGGAGGACATTAAGCTGGGTGAAATACATCAGTCACAAAAGGACAAATACTGCATAACACCACTGTTATGGGGGCTTGGGAGAAGAATAAGAAAAGAGTGGATAGATAATGAATACTGCATTGCAACAGATGTGGGGAAGAACAATCTTAAAGGAATTTATGACTAGTTATTATAAGTAAGAAGAATATGAAATAAGTGGACTGGGGAAGGGAGCAGGGAGGAGGAGGGAAGAAACTGCAACAAGGAATGAATAACATTGTTTTAAAAATTGTAAGCTGTTATCTACATCTTGAAGTCTACCATGATTTTGTCAAATTGAGACTTACATAGTAGCAGACAACAAATGCCTTCTTCACTCCACTAAACTGAAGCATGGGCATAAATGCCCTTATAACCTAGAGTGTTATACTAGCCAAGGCATTTGCAGCTTTACTATGTCCACTGGTAGGGTGGGTTGGGGAGTAAGGTGTGAATGGGAACAAGTTCCAGAGCCAGTCTTGTCACATATTGACAGCATTGCAACAGAACACACGCAGACTAACAGAAAGGGCAGCCTAGGTAGAATTTTCAAGTATGGAAATACAAAGGAGGAGGAACAGTTGTAAGCAGACCCTAGTGATTGGAACATGGAATGTGAGAACAATGTATTCTCTTAAAAAATCAAACAATTTAATATGTACCTGTAAGAGCAAACCAGGCTTCACAACAGGCCTTCTGGCCAAACCAACTGCTAATCACAAAGGCCCATCCACTGAGTCTTAATTAGTTTAAACAGGAAGCTGCTAGCCCACAACTAACTTTTAATCAAGTAAAAAAGATCCACCCTCTGGATCCCAACTGCTTCAAATAAGAGGCTTCCAGCTCCCAACCTATCTAAAGTACATAGATAGGGAACTTCCAGAAGTTGAAGCAGGATTTAGAAGAGGCCATGGCACCAGGGATATGATTGCTCATGTCAGATGGATCCTAGATGAAAGTAGATATTGGAAAAATGTCTGTCTGTGCTTTATTGACTACACAAAGACATTTCACTGTGTGGATCATGACAAGTTAAACACTACATAGTTAAAATTAAGAAGAGAGTGTGTCAAGGTTGTATTGTCTCTTCATACGTATTCAATTTGCATGCTGAGCAATT